AGCAGTGAGGGGGCAAGTAATGTTTAAGCTCATTTATGCGCTTACAATTTTCTATATGAATGCCTGTGAAATTTATTATACCAAGTATCCTGCGTCATTTCAGTTTGTTGTTGTATTTTTGATTTTCTTGTATTCTTTGTTATTCTGTGGCGGCATGCGAAATTACTCTATGCTGATTGTAATTTGACACATCGAAATTTGCCTGCGCCACAATTTTCTTTGGACTTACACTTTATTCGTTTTTTTTTTTTCATTTTGCTCTTTTTGGGGCCGCGATAAATTCTTTTGTTGAGAATTTGTTTTCAATTGCTTTTGGCTGCCTCAGCAGCTGTAAACTGCTTCGCCGCACAGTCATTTGAATATGAAATGGAGTTGTAAAAATTTATATGCGAATTGAATTGCCTCACACCTCCTGCAAAAGTGCCTAAGCATTTTCACCAAACTCAATATATTTCGGTCTGTCACTTTTCGCCTTTCTCGTTTTTTCCGCACTCCGTTTGCTGTTGGCGGCCATCTTTAATTTTGTGCCCAACTGAACTAGGCCGATTTGCATGCTGAGCGCATTTTCCTCTCCGACTCAGCATTCACATTTCACTTCACTCGTTTTTTCTAATTTTTTCCCATTTTATTTTTGTGGACTTCTTTTCTCTTTCCTTTGGTATATACGTTCAATTTTAATTTTTTCGTAATGACATTTTCTCAAAAGGATATCTAGCATTTATGCGCATTTTGTTCCATTTTTTCCTTTTTCATTTCATTTCATTGCATATTTCTTCCTCCCACACACACACAACATAAGAATATTTTATAAAATAAGTATTCGTCCTTCCAATTTTATATTTTGCTTACAAATCACTTTGACTTGCTAACAATACTTGGCAAGTGTGCTTGTTTTTGCTACTTTCAGGAGAAAATAAATCAACTAAATTTTCGTCACATAATTTTAGGCGCTGTGTACACTCGTTTTGCTTCCCCTGCTTGTGTAATCAGTGCAAAATTTTGTCTTTTGTGTAATAATAAAATTTCTTTGGAAAGTTGAAATTCCCCTTGGCATAGAAATTAAATTGATTCATTAAACGTATAGCTGACATATTTCTTGCGCGATTGCCTGCAATTTGGCCGCGCCTAAATGTATGCCACATCACAGCAGTATAATGCAAATAACTGTAAATCAAGGTCAGTGCTAACAAATCACAGTAGAATATTAATGAATTTAGACTTTGCTTAGTTATACAAAAGCTATGGAAATCTTTATGCTATGCACTATACACCTTGCGCCTGAATGTAGGTCACGCGAAAGTGAAGGAAATTTAATTATTTAGTTTAATATTATTCAAAGTAGTAACTCTATGTCCGCATTAAAATTCAGCAATTATAAAGCATATTTTCAAGTTTCTCTCACAAGTGAAATTTTACAGAAGCCACCGTTGCCAATATATTGCTTTCTCTCCTCAGCGTATCTCATTATACTGTATTTGACTTTAAAACATACACTTTGAACCCTAACAAAATCCTTTTCATGTAATTTTCATGTATTTACTTAACTAACTATTCAAAGAGACATTCGCCGTGGCATTAGATTTCACTATTATTGGGCCATCAAAGTTAAAGAGCTTAATAGGAGAAGACAAGGGTTGTGGAGACTGAAAAACTAGGTATTTGAAAACCATAGAAAAACATTTACGTAAAGTATATTTTATTTATGAGTGAATGGATTTGGAAGTAGCTTTAAAGAACTACAAAGTCTTCGAAACGAATTTTAAATTCCAAAAATTAATAATTTAAAATATCTTGTACGTGTCTGATCTAAGTGAGGAGAGTAAGTACAATAGTATATTTGGGTGATAGGTTAGTGTCCAAAATAATCTATGTTTTTCATGACTTTTGTCCTTTTTTTACTTCGGAGCCGGGCAAGTCTTCAATCACTTAACAGAAGCTAGTATTCTCTCACTTAGTCGAGCTCCAAACTATCTCCGCTCTCACTTATAGAGTCAGTGAGTAACAATAATGTCAGTAGACATTATGTGCGTTTGTCACATCATATACATGACCTCTATCCACCTAATTATGATTTTGTTGTAGCACGCCTCTAAGTATGCAACATCTACCATCAAATATAGAGCATTTTGCATTTAAGACATTTACGCCTAAAAATGTGCAAAGCCATTTTGTCTTGATTACCTCTACGATTTTGTGGTAACACTAGCAATTATAAATAAATTTTTGCATCCCAAGTCGGGGTTGGTTTGGTGTTTAAGAAAAAGAGAAATAAAATCACCTTAAACACGTCAGGTGACAGGTGCCAGGTGTTGCAAACTGTAAGTTATTTAGGTGATCTTGTAAAGAACCGTGATTAGTAAATGTATAGTGTATAAGTTCAAGGCTCAAATACGTAATTAAAAGTGCTATCAAGAGCAAAAGTTGTTGATAAAAGCTTCCACGGCTTTAAAATTTCTTAGAATCGTACAACTGAGCCTTTTTCACTCATTTTTTTCACCAAAGATAATCGAGTAAGCCGGCTGAGAATTCCAGTGTGTGCTGAAGTGATTGAGCAACCTATCAGTCCTAAGATTTCAACCTGTTTATGAACTTTTTTCTACCATTCTCTTATAATATATTTTGCAAAAATATTTAATGCTCTGTCAAAAGTGGAAATATATCAACTTTAGGGTCTTAAAGCTACAACTAACTCCCACTTCAAAATTCCGTCATTTTTTCGCACAGCTCTCAGCACTTTTATTGCATGCTAACAGCCAGCTCACCTACCCTTTCTTGTTTATATAATCATCAGCTGACTTTCTAACAGATTCCACCGCATTGCTCTCTAGCTCGTCGTCATGAATGGACAAGCATTTTGTGAGGGGTGACCGAAAAATGTCATTTCGTTTACGCGAAACGCTATTACAATGCGGCTGCTCGGTTATTCTTTTATTAAAACTACCGCTACCATCTGACGTTCATACCACAGCTAATGCATTTATGGTTATTTTTGTTGCTACACATACACTCATAATCATATGTTGTTGTTGGTTACGCTCGCACCAACTCTGAGTCGCGCTGTGCGCTGTGGCTTTCGCTTCCAAAAATGAAGATAAGCCGCTTATCGCACCACCATTTGGCTGCGCTCAATTCGACCCACCGTCAGCAGCTGCGGGCATTGTGATAGTCAACGGTGCAGGCTGAGGGTTTTGTACTTGTGTGTGTTGCGTAGTTAGTAGTGGCGCGGAAGGACATTTTAGCGTAAAAGTAGCGCATTTGCTTGCTCGCTCGTTTGCTGCTGCCTCCACTGAGTTGGCTCTTTTGGTATGTTTATTTGTTTTCCTTTCCTTGTTTCGCCGCATTGGCTGCGAGTGCTTTGCATGCAGTATAATGTTGTGGTTCATTTGTTTAGTTTGTATTTGGGAAATTCTTGTATATTTTAGTATTTAACTTTTTTATTGTCATTACTAGTTTTCCAAATGTTTTTATTTCCTTTACTTTTCTTTAGCTCCTCTTTGCCTTTCCGGTTTTTTTTTTTTGTTCATTTTCAAATGCCACTTACCATTTACAGCGCCCTTTTACTGCGCTTGCTATTGCTATTATGACTGTTTTAGCCACTTTGTTGCAGCTGAGTCAACAGTTGTGGTGATATAGTCCTACTTTGCTTTATTTTGTATAATAAGTGTGCATTTTTAAAACTGATAGAAGCCCAGTAAAGTAACCCATAACTCTAGTGATTACAACTGAAATTAAAATAAAGCTCAGTGGACATTCTTTTCTGGAGTTGCGCACTATCCAATTGTGTAGGTGATATTTCTTTCTTTATACCGCATTTCTTACACGCCTTCTTTTGCTTTATTTTATTTTATTTTATTTTATTTTATTTTATTTTGCTTTATATTATTTTACCTTATTTTTTTTTATTTTATTTTATTTCGTTTGATTTTTATGCAAAATTATTTTTCCCCAAATCAAATTAATTTGTTCCTGAAGGTGATTCAAGTTCTCACTCGACTTGAGATTTAGCTTGTTCTTAAAGAGAAACCATGAAAAGACTCGTTTGTGACTGCTTTTAATAATTCATTTTCAACCTCTTCTACTTTTTCTTGGCGCAGAACTCACCATTTCGTTCAATGCAAAAAAAAACATTCTTTTGTCATTCCACTTCTCTACTACGAGTAATAAAGCAATAATTATGCTTAACGATTTTATAAATATGAAAGCATACGCCTCTCTTTCTGGGTCAAAACAATGTGTTATCGCGTCCATTAGCAACAGCAAAAATGCATAATTATTAAGTAATTAAGATGCCATTTACCTCCACTGCAAGTTGGCAGACTGGCAAATACTTCGTACTATATGATCACAAATTCTTCTTTTGCTTAAGCGAAAACACGCGACTTGGCTCTAGTACATGCAGCAGACACACTAACATACATGCCAGCATACGCTGGCTTTGGGCCGCCTTGGCACTACCATGCCAACAACTATTTTAAATTTTTAATTAAACTTTACCGCCTCAACGGCGTTCAAACTTAGTTTATTTGTTTTGTTTTCATTCTTTTTTGCATTTTTCTTTTTTGCCTTGCTTTTGGTTTACACTTTGTCTACGCTGACTTCTTTTTCCCACACACGTGCCATTATTACACTTTGCGCTTACTTTTATATAACCAACTACGATTACCGACTCTTTTATACAAACACATACACATACATACACTCAGACGAAAATGCTCTTTCACAAAACGCTCTCAGCTTTATTTGAGCCGCATTGGTATTAACATTTTAATTGCATTGCGTTTTTTCTTTATTTCTCGATTTTTCTTCTTAATTTCTTTCTTTTTTCTGTTCTTTCTTTTATTTTTACCCGTTTTTATTTTGTAATTCACAAACTTGTTAGCCGTCTTTGCTTTATTACTCACTCACTTACTTACTTACTTACTTATATCCGAACTTTGTTTCATTTCATTTTCAATTTTCTTACTTTTTCTTCTTATTTTCTTTTCATTGCATACTTACAGGCTATCTCCTTGAAGGAGTTACGCCATCGGCACCACCGGATGTCCCACCAAGGAATCCAACAATGAATCGCATGAATAATGGCCGTTTAGTCCCTGGTAACCCAAATGATTTGGGCGTTGATTTCGAGCCATCGTGTTTGGTGCGAACCCCATCGGGCAACGTCTACATTCCAAGTGGAAACTTAAGTAAGTACCAACAGCAAATAATGCAATCCTCAAACGAATTTAGTTAGTTCTATAGTAGAGTAGTAGTTGGTAGTAGTTGCTAGAACTCGTACAAACAAGGAGCAATGAGAAAAGTTGCTTATCGGCGCCAAAAAAGTATGCAACACTTTTGCTTACAAAGCAGATATTTGATTACTTTATTAGTTTCTCCTTCTTAAGAACCTGCTCGTCCGTGAATGAATGTGTATTTATGAATGTGTGTATGTAATATGGTATTATGTGTAACGAATGTTAATTAAAAGTGTTAATTGAAATATTTAATTGAATGCGAAGCTAGGCAAACTGAACGTAGGAAAAAACATCGAGACCAAGAGATTTCAAGTAAAAGACCGGAGAAGTGCAAGAATAAGGAAGAAAGCTAGATGATAATCAATGAAATGCGATTAGGTCATATAGCTAAAGGAAAATGTATTTTGATAGTTCGAGCGGAAATTGTGCAAATTCAAAGTGAAGAAAATGCAGGAGAAATCCCAAACAATGTGACGTTACATAAATGAATTGAGAAAAATATATAACAGGCTGTATAATGATTAGTAAAGAAAAAGTACACAAGCTTAGTCAAAAGAAGGCTTTGGAAATGGAATAACCTAATTAAAGAAGATTTTCTAAAAAAAATTTAGTCAGTCTTAGATATTAGTTGAAGAAACGTAGCACTTCATTAGGAAAAGCTAACAGCTTTTATTGAGCCAAGCAGCAACAGAATTTCCGTCTTTTTGCGCTATTCAGCATTATTTGGCTATCAGAAATCAATTTTGGAATATATTTAAAACACTGTTTACTTCACATTGCTTAGTGGGCGAACACTAATTAACCGTTTCCATATTTTTGTGTAATATTCAAACCAATTTGTAACTCCTTCACATTATTCAGCGCTACTTGATACATTTGTCAAAGCTTCGAAACTTACAATCATAATAAATTAGTTAAATTCAGCTCAATTCAGCGCAGCCAAATACTAATTATTAGAATTCAGCGGAATTATTATTATCTTAAATAGTGCCAGCCTACTCTAATTGCAATTTTTTTTCAAATACCGTTCAATCCAGCTGCTCGAAATACAATTTATTTTAGTTTCTGTACTCTACACAATTCAATACATTTATAAATGCTTCAAAAGATATTTTCGGACAAATTCAGTTCAATTCAGCCCAATTCAGCATCAATCAATCATATTCAGTACAATTCAGCGCGTTTATGCATGATAGAATATTCATTAATACCAAGCAAATTGCAATTTTTACCGAATTCCTTTCAATTCAGCTGCTCAACATACAATTAAAGCAAAAGTGTAAGGCAAAAAACCACTGAACTGTTAAGTCAGTGAAATTGAAATATCATTTTTAATTAAAATAAAACTTGCACAGTTGGCTTGTTTATAGTCGAACTAAATCAGGGCATTTTTCAGTAATTTTCAGCTTATAGAAAGGAATGTATACTCGAAAAAGCGCGCATACTACAATATGAGAACAAAATATTTGCAAAAAAAAATATACAAAAATGCTGTTAGTCTGCTTATAGTAGAGCTCGGCAAAATAGATGCTTGTTAATATTGATTTTTGCAAGGCAATAGCATACAATGCATGTATGTATATATGTATGTTGTGAGCATACAAGCCTACCAAAGCATACATTTAGACATTTATGCATACACAAACTTGCATTGATAGCCAGCATATTGACCCAGCACAATACACACACATTTTCACATGCAGGCGGTATTCAAAAACCATGGCAATCGAAACAGATATTGATCTATGTATGTTTGTGTATACTCGAAAATCATCAGCAGGCATTTATTACTCACACATATTCATATATATATTTAGGCACGCACGCAAGCAAAGTGCTTTATAGGCGTTGCATAGTGTTAGGCGTCGTCACTGCCTTTTGCATGTTGCCTTCTTCGATTGACTGGTTTTACAACTACATTTTGGTATGTATGTATGCATGTGCATTGTTTGTGTGTGTATTATTACCATTTCGATTCACTTTTGTTGAACTTCTCTCCAATGAATATTGCAAACACAACAACATATGTACAAATTACATACATTACAATGTGCAACAAACTCATCAATATTGTTATTTGCGAAGGTATACGCATTCGCATGTATGTATGCAATGCATTACAGTGTAAAAGTATGCAGAGAATTTTGCATTTCGCCTCGTTGCGAATTAATTAGTGCAGATATGTTTGGTGCTAATTAGCTAAAATGTATGCAAACACACACATGCAAACACCTTCCTACAAACAAACATTCACACAAACACACACATACATTAGTAGAGGGGATAACAAATGCATTTTCGGGCATGCGACTGCAGCATATGCTCTCCAAGTGTGTGCATACACGTATATATCGAATTTAAGTGCTGGAAAGTTATTCGAATTTCGTATAAATTTTCATTAAATTGACTTACTTTTCGTAGTTTCCATAGGTAAACACATACGCATAAATACACTAATACAGCTAAATAATATATACAAGTATATTCATATAAATAATAAATGTGCCTAAATGTGTTTTGAGAATTTTCAAATTCTAATAATTTCAGGACAAAAATAATGAAGGGAGAGTCATTTTAAGAAGTATAAAATTAGAGAAGGAATGCGAAAGGCTGCAGGCTGACGGCTGAACAGGCTGTGGGGTTTCTTGTTGCTGTAAGGTCGTTTTACAATTTAAATATTTTATTAATTGTTGAGTCGTACATAGCAACTGTTAATTAAATTTGCACGCCTATAATTTCCATTTGCTATTGTTGTTGGCATATTTTAGGTGAAAGAAAGCAATTAGCATTTATGAATTTATTTAAACTCTTGGGAAATAAATTAAAGGAAATAAATAAAATATTGCTTGTGGCTAAATTATATGTTTGAGTCAAAATTCTGAAAACTTTTCCCAAAAAATTTTTTAAACCATTTTCAAGCGGTTCAAAAAAAGCAAAAATATTTATAGTAAAAATAACATACATTACATTTAGGATAGCAAAAATAAAAAGCTTGGGAAATCTTATTTGCGGACCAATTTAATCGAAAAATCAAAGGTTAGTTTTTTTTAATTCAAATATTTTTAATATAAATTTTTTTTCTGAAGTTAACATATTTTAAACCTTTGCAAAAGCCCCTAGAACAAGTTTAAATAAAAGGAACTTTAAGCACAATTTAGGTAAAAAAACAATAAAATCTATCTAAAGAGTACAAAAGCTTAAATTTACTATTTTACGGCCCGTCCTTTGATTCCCTGAGACATTAAAAAGCTCTGACAAAATCTTTTTTTTTTTTTTTGTAAAGAAAAATCTTAAAGAAGTTTTATAGTTATATACGAACTCATTAATCAATGTACATTTTAAATAGTTTTTGTTTGTACTAGTTTCAGATTCAATTTTTTTTTTTTGCCTAAAAAGCATTCCAAAAACTCAAAACCCTCAAAAAGGAGTCTTCAATCTTGGAAAAAAATATTCAAAAATGCAGTAAAAGTTCTGGAAGCTTTATATGTATTTTCTTTTATAAATATTTGTACTGCTAAGCCAACTTTTAACAGCAGATCTTCTCGTTTTAAACTGATTTTCATTTATCGAAAATCGCAAAAAGCTCTGAAAGTTCAAAAAGCTTTATAAAACAATTTTAATAAATAAGACTTGTGTTGTTATACTCTATCGATATATTCTTCATTAAAAGACATATACGAAAAGCTATTGCAGATAATAATTGAAATGTTTAGATACAAAAGCTCACCTCAATGAAGTCTTAAACTTAGGTTATTTGTTTTGATGGCATAATATGAATCCCTTATCAGTATACTATCTGCATGTTTGCAAACATTGCACTAAAAGATTCTTAAAATTGAGCTGTATTAACTCCTTTGTGATTTTCTACTTAATCAATATCAAGTTAAATTAAAAACCTCTTTTCTCTCATTTACTTAAATAAATTAAAATAAAATTTATTTACTTTTTTTTTTAAAAAAATTTTTCCTTTGAAATATTTCCTGTACAATATTGCATATTTATAGGCGCACATTGCCACTTATTTCACAAAGAAACTGCTGTTTACATATGTGTGCACACATGTGCAAATGTTCTTATTTTTAAATTTATGAGCTGCCTACAAATATACGTAGTATTTGTACATATACATACATATTTCTTTCCATATGCCTGCCTTTTTACTTATAAATGCTTGTAAATCTATATGTTTTTGTATGTCTGCGATAGATTGGCTTTATTGACACCAATGTACGCGGCCTACGAGCAAACGTCAATTGCTTGAACTGCTCCATTCGTTGCCTGTGCCCCATACAAATATCAGAATAAATGCATATAATACAATACATATAAATATAAGTATATGTTATATGCATAAATATATTTATATATATATAGTACTTGACTTGCACCAGCCTTCGCCGTCTGCTTATCTGTCTGCCATTCGGTCGATCCTTGTGCACACATAGGCTTGTATTTTCCCTTGCCGCTTTTGCTGCATATTTTTCCATAAGCCTATACATACGTATATGTATGTTTCTGCAGTTGAAAGTCAATACTTGTAAATACTAAAGCTTCACACGCAGCTGTTGCCTTTTGGGATATGCAAATTTATGTGTGCGTAACTATAAATATAAGTTTATATCACGCTCTATCAGCGAGTAATGTATGTGTGTGTATGCTAGTATTTGTGTATAATCATATTTATTTGCATTGGTATTTGTTGCGCATTACAACTGCCAACATCCGGGCCACCGAAGTGACTGACTGACTGACTGACTGGGTGGCTGTCTGGCTGTCTCAGTGGTTGAAAGCAGCTCTGGCGCTGCGGAAGCGTATATATATTTACCCTCGCACATACGCACATGGCTGAGCCTTAATGCTTGTCACTGCACCGAAAAATATGCAACATTTTTTCCAATATTTTATTGCATTTCGACTTTAATGCCAGTCTTTCATGCCCCACCACATATGTA